TCATCCTCTTTCCTTTGATTTTCGCGCCGTTCATTCTCCCTTTGTACTGTAGAGGAGAGTGAAATCGTATTGTTATTTTACAAATGCTGAAAATGAACTGCACATGTGATATTACAATTTTAACAATGCAGCAACGAGAAAGGTCCCATGTAGCACAATATCTCTGGCCCCGCTCTGGCCCACACAATCAGGTTTTGCTTGGCCCAGATGTCGCAGTGAATTACGGTACATGACTGGACCAAGTATGGCTTCCAGACGAGGGCCAAACACGGACCATATCTGGGCCAAGTCTCAGCCAAGTTAATAACACATAACTGAGCTTGAACTGGGCCAGATATGTTGGTGGATCACAACTGCAATGAAACTGATAAACCCATGAATCATTGCACATTAGGTGTGCTATGGGCATGCATTTTCTCTAAGCAACCTGATTGGTAGAAATTGTTTTCTTTATTTAAAAATAATACAGATTTATTTTAAAAGTGGGTCAAGATAAGTTGAACTTACATGGTCCACATATCAATTATTAATCGTTCAGTTGTGTTAAATTAGGGTAGGAGCTAAACTATACAGTATAATGGCCATCCAGAAGCAGAATGTTTAAGAATAAATTGATATGAAAATTTGTAAACTGAACTGACATCATCAAATAGCTGAGTACTACATATCTTGTGTGGTTTATGCACAAAAGTCAATGGTAACAGGTTACTAGCTTTAAAATATCTGCTTTTGTGTTCAATAAAAGAAATATTCTAATAGGTCTGGAACAACTTAAAGACTAAATGATTATTAATGTTTTTATGAACTATCCCTTTAAGAGGAATTAACAAACTCATCTGTTGATAAATAAATATCACACTGAGAAACATTGAGAATGTCATGTTTTAATGACTTTGTATGTTAACACAAGTTTGACGTTTTTTTAAAATGGACATAACTTTAAGACGGTCCCTTATATGATGGTTATCATTTGGCTGAGCTCAACCGACTCTTTCGACTCCGAAACGGCTCTTCTACTTCTGGGTTTTATAATTCAGCAAATACTCTCCTGGGTTTGATTGGTAATGTGTGTTAATGAGACGAATTGTGTTAAATGTTTTTAATACCACATTTTTGCTTCTAATAAAAAGTAAATCGTGTTTTTTAGCGTCAAACACAAGCAAGTATCCTCCTCTCGCGACTCTCACCACTTCACTTAAAGGAGTCGGTTCATAGAGCCGCTTATGTCATGAATCAACAATTCGGAGTCACATCAACAATCAGGACCATAACTTGTATATAGCTTGTATTAATGTGTAGTTATATTATACATATTATTATATAGTTGTTTCATAGTATTTAAACTAACTGTAATATTTAAAACATTTTTCTTTATTTAAAAATAATACAAATTTATTTTAAAAGTGGGTCAAGATAAGTTGAACTTACATGGTCCACATATCAATTATTAACATCAGGGCCAAATACTACATTTCACAGCAGGCCCAAGTATTGTGTGCCGCCTTAAAGACGGTGTCCCCTCTGCCAAACCAGGGCCATGTTTGGCCCACATGCTGTATGCCAGTGCCAGATAAATGCCTGCTGTGCCAGATTTTTTGCCAAATCTGGGCCAGAATTCTTTGCTACCTAGGGTGGTGATCTGAAAATCGCAGGAGGATACTGCTTTAGTTTAAAGCTCAATGTAGGTCATTTAAAAATACTGTCAACTAAACAATACATTTCATGAAATGCTATTGACCTTATTCTAAAATGCGGAAGTGCCCCTGTTTTCGCGATTGTCTAAGAACTTCCGTTTCAGTCGCCTATGGGAGAAATGACAAGGAATAATAAACGGCAAAAAACGGTCAAACTACTTGCTCTACAAACAAATGTTTGCATGACTATACAGACCAAGTAGAATAATATAACAAGGAAATATCAGTTTGCAACATCAAACAGCGAAACGAGCAGTTTTTAATGTCTAAAAATGAATGGAAGTGAATGAGACCGGAAGTCTCGTGCCAAAAAGATTCAAATGGCAGCGCCCGCTCGTCTGCGGAGAATAAGGTCAATATAATGTCAACCGCTGCCTTGAAACTGTGTGTATTCTGAAAGCATGTCCTGCAAATTTGTCAGTTCCACACCAAATTATCGTTAATAGACGACAACAAAATTAAGTTGTCACAATACTGGAATTTCCAACTTCGATGAGATACCTTGAAAAAATATCGATATTCAATGCCATTTTCGACAATGTGGGGAACAGATTCCACAACATTAAAAGCATGCAAATAAAGTAAAAAAGTGAAAATGGACACTCTACAGGGATCTTACTTTCATTGCAGAGAGCGAGGGCGTGGTATACTCGATTGCAGAGGGTGCAGAAAACGAATTTGCATGAAGGGCAGATGCCCATGGTCCGGTCAGGCTCGAGCATCACAGCCATGCCGCAGCTTTTGCGAGGGCAATAAACCACATCAGTCATTAGGTTCAGACTCCACTGCAGGAGGAGCCGATCATAGCGGGCAAAAACTTCTTGGCTCACGAGAAGTTTCACCTGTTGTAGGAATGCAGAGATGTTACTTAAACTTCAGTTCAGACAGATAAAGCAGTGGTCTTTAACCCTGCTCCCCTTGGACCCACTGTCCTGCAAAGTTGATTTCCAACCTTCCTCACCACACCTATATGTGTCTGTTATCAGATTTTACAAGAAGTGTCTCACTGCAGCCTGTCATGCACATCCAGCCCCGTCCACATCCAAGTGTGATGTCTCAGGGGGAGAAGGATCTGGATGCAGACCTGTTGCAGTGCAATCTGGGCTGCATCCAATGCTTCCCTAATCCCTAACCCTACCCGTCACAGTGACGTCACTCACTCCATTGAGTACATTGTGTCTGACATTGCATCGCTGAGTGATGCAATCTCAGCTTGCATCATAAAGGCTGCATCCAGATACTATTGCTCAGGGGTGGAAAACTCAATTCCTGTGAAGCCACAGTTCTGCACAGTTTAGTTCTAACCCTAATCAAACACAACTGACAAAACAAATTGAGTCCTTCAGGCTTGTATTGTAACCTGCAGATGTGTTAGAGCAGGGTGGGAACTTCAATGCGTAGGGCTGAGGCTGTTCAAGAACTGAGTTTGACAAAGCACAATGATGTACTGGATCTAGTCCAATATTTAGCGGACACGCAACCATAAGCGATTCTTGCTAAAATGAGAATTATTTGTTTCATTTATAAAATTACACATGACATTGTGGGTTACACCAGGGTGCTCCAGGGTGCTCAACCCTGTTCCTGTAGCTCTACCTTCTTGCAGAGTTCAGCTCCAACCCATATCATACAAAACTAAACCAACGAAAGATTTGATAGAGCACTTGGTAATTCACTGCTTGTGTGTTTGATCTAGGGATGGCTTACCTGAAACGGATACAGTGTCGAGATCCCGAATCGCAAGTGTTTCGAAACGCTGAACTGAAGCATGATCTGAAACACCCGGGTCAAGTGACTTGGGGATTCAAAACATCGGTCATTTCAGATGCATTTCAAGACCTGGCGAATCTGCATTTGAATGACAGGAATGGAAACTCTATCACATGTAGGCTAGAGGATCGTACACACAGAGCACAGAGTAACTGTGTTTCAATTGGCCCGAGTTCGACTTGCACAAGCACTCTAAAACTATGACTTGATGTATTTTATTAACGTTACATATTTATGACTAAAACAAGACATATTTAATCACAAAGTGTTCATTCGAATGTCAGACCGATGTTAAAACAAAACACGTAACAAGAACAGAGCATTCAAAAACTAGCATCTATAGCTTCGTCACCCTGCTTTCGAACCCATTATATCTTGGCATGCTAGTCTGGAACACTCACTTCACTAAATCACTTGAAAGCCTCGACTCTACAACATGGGGTTTAATACCCACAGCAAAACCTGGCCCTCAACGTAAGCATGTGCATTAGAATGTCCGATGTCGCATTTGGATGTTGGCGGGGTTGGACGTCTACCACAGCCTGAATTATCCAGAAAAACCTGCTTAGCTGCTTCAGGTGAGTGTAATTACAGTTATAGCTGAACCCTGCAGGATAGTGGGTCTCCAGCTCATACTACGACACAAACACACAAGAAAAAGTACCTGTGCAGGAGTAGCCAGGGAGGTGCATTCTGCCTCAGGACAGGAGAGAAACTGGACTTTGCCGTCTTTAATCTGGATTTCGAAGTAATCCTTAACGCAGGTCTTGCAGTACACATGCTGACACTCATTGAAGAGCACAAAGCTGGAGCCCAGGTTCTCAGTAAAGCAAATTCCACAGCTAAAAACTGTGGCCTCAAACACCTTCTTCTTCTGAGCTTCATTAAAATCCAGCAGCTGGGTTAATATATCACTGTGAGGATCAGCTACTTGAACTGCTCGCTGGTCCAGCTCTTCTACAGCAGCGTTAGCTGCTTGACACTCAGCAGATTCACACTGAGGCTGGACACCATTGGTTTGGATCTCAAGTGGAGACTGGATGTTCAAAAACTGCAGGGTTTCTTCTTTTAGAAACTGGATCCAGGTAAAAAGAACCACACTGCCCCTGTTCTCTTCCCAAAGTTCATCCAGTCTCTTGCAAAGAGCTGTGATCTTTTGAATAATTAATATCTCAATTTAATACCTTAATAAATACAACAACTATGTAATTATTTTTAATATTAAAAGGCCAAAAAATACCACAAATACATTAAACTAAATATGTAAATAAAATAAAATATATAAACAGTGAGTCATGTACTGTAAACTGCTAAAAATGACAAACCTGGACTCTTGAAAGCCATATGGAGCTCAGAGTAAAGACTGGAGCTGATGATGAAGGATAGTCTGTGGGTAGTTCAAAACTCAAAATCGTGGACGGCAAAAAGGAAACATCAACCTCTACGCATGTCTTCCCTAGGAAACATATGCAGAAAAACAAAAGCAATTCAGAGCACATGCAAAACCGCTATCTGAAAGTAGGCTTGGGCGGTATC